ATATAATATAATATAATATAATATAATATAATATAATATAATATAATATAATAAATACATGAATTTAATATTAATATTCTTTAATGGTATTCGTTTTTAGTACGAATCTATAATATAATAAATATATAAATATAATATTAATATTCTAAAATCTTATTAGTAAGTGTTATATTCTATATTATTTATTATATAAGCTATAATTTGATAGATTGACTAGTATTTAAATTGAATGAGTGAGATCTAGGCGAATCTCTTTTTAGTAACTCATAAATATTGTACTGAAAAAAAGTGTTTATCAACTGAATAATAAGATATAATAATTTACCAACAAATAAAATATAATTGTTGATCTATTAATAGTAAATTTATATATTTTATTATACAATAAATAAAAAACACAAATTAAATTTAATAGACCAACCATCCCACATGAGCACAAAGAAAGCCTTTTAGCCAAGCCCTGTTTTGCTTTCTCTAGTTGTTTGTGAATTTCAGCCCACAGAGTTCGAATTGCAGTGCGATGCATTCTTGTGGCTTCTTCGGTTGCATGTCGAAACTCAATTAGCTGTCCTATTGACCTGTTTGGCGCTGCTCATTGTCAGACACACTTTTAAAGTAACTCTGAACATTTTGCATTTCTTTGCAGGCATTGAGCACCTTTGGCAGTATGGCGCCCATGCCACGCATCCAATTGGCCAACAACAATGCGGCCATAAAAGCCACAACCAACAATTTTCTGTATGCCGAAACAATTTCCGGCGACAGCAGCCCAACACCCAGCAGTCCGCCTTCGAGCACAGGTAAATTGCATCATAGACTATAGCCAAAGATTTCCGCCTCAGCTCGCTTTCTTAATGTTTCCACAGCGGGCGTTGCTAAATCGCAGTGCTCCTCCCTGTCGGATGGCGAATCCTTCGAGGGCTATGGCGAGAACGAGTATAGTGTTCAGCTGCGTGCGACGGGCAGCAACAGCATTGGCAACAGCAGCGGCAGCGCCAACCACAATCACAACCACAACCACAGCAATAACAATGGGAACAACACTCACCATCACAGCATGAACAACGGATCAGTGCATGAGCACAGTGGGCACTCAAATGACGGCAATAACAATCTGGATGACACGGCTGGCATTGAGCTCGATCTGGCGCCTCACGTTGTCTCATCCTCGCCCAAGGAGTAAGCTGAAGTTTATTTATATACTCATCTCACAGAGTTTTATTAACCTATTGTCTGTTGTCTCTCTTACGTTGCAGTGACGAGGAGCTCAACATTATGCCCCGCGACAATTGGGCCAGACGCAGTCTGAGACGCACACCTACAAGGTAACATCACCAGACACATAACAAGTCGGCGTCTCGCCTGCCATATAAGGTCGCAACGATCAACAATTAGTTATGGAAAGCTTGAATGCGCGTAGAAATTTATGCTGTCCCAAGCCATGTTATTTGCACACAGTCGCATAATCGTCGCGCCTCTTGACGTAATGCCCATAGACTGACCAGTTTGCCAACTTCAAGTAATAGTCTAAGCCGCATCTGTTTAGCGATCGTCAACCAGTGTCCGTCTGCCTTGATTTTATTTCTGTATTTCTTTTTATTATTTTTGCTTTTTTTCCTTTCTGTATGTCTATTTGAATATTTAACCTTTTCGTTGGTATATGCACATCTGTATGTATATCCGTTCATGTGTATATGCGAGCTGGAAAACCAGTTTTACTATGTCTCGCGTTTTGGGCCGTGATTCATGCGTTCCGATCCAGTCGAAATCGCAGTCGAGGCTTGTAGTCAGTCGGTGCGCAAACAGAGAGCGCTCTTTGTTTCCGTCTATGTTCAACACACCACGAAGAGAGCGCTATATCAGTGTGGGAAAGAGAGAGGGATAGTGAGGTGAACTCCAGATTCACCTGCATTAAGAGCAATCGCTGCTCTCTTAAATAATACAGTAAGCGGGCTGTCTTCTATTCAATTAGAGATTTTTTTTCTTTAAAGGCGCATGATTAATTTGCTTGCTGTCTTTTGGCATAAGTCTTAATGAGAGGTTACAAATCGTCTCTTCATATAATAGATAGAACTTTATTAGGTCTCAGTTTATACATCTTTAGGCAAAAAATTATTCTATGAGATATTAAATTAGTATAAATGATGTTTTATCGAAATCCAAATCCAAATCTAAGAAAAGTAGTTGAGATTTCCTTCAGTTCTGTTTCCAGTTCCAGTCCATTAAATGGTATATGTTCTATATATAAAGGACCATTTTAGAATTATCTATTATTATATTATTAATAAACTTATTATCGATTATTAAAAATAATGTACCTTCTACCTGGGCCATTCTAATTTTCATATCATTTAAGAGGTTTTCCTAATTAGGTTTACATAATTTAGGCTTCACTTGGTTTTTAGCTGTCTAAAATATTATCTAATAAATAAACTTATTCTGCTTTTGGTAGAAAAGTAAATTTATCTATAAAGTTCCCGTCTTAATGTGCATACAGAACTCAGTCTGTCAATATAAATATTATATATGTATTACTCTATAATATTTTTATGTGGTCAGAAATTATTTCATAGATTTAATAGATCAATATAAATACCAATATCATTTGGTTATATCTAAAGATGGATTGCAATAAACCACAAATGTAGAATTATTTAGAGAATTATTGCACTGGTTATTTAGAGCATTATAAGCATAGATTGCACTACCCACAGTCTTACTGTGCATTTATTTTAAAGTTAAATCTTATTTTATATAACCATAATAGCTTAGTTTATGGGCATCATAAGTTATGAAACAGATATAGAAATATTTGCAATGGCCTTTCATACCCCTTACAATTACGACGCTTAATAAACCTCATTTCATATATTCTTTACAGCAATCCCGATAGTTTGCCCCAGCGTCGTTGGGGCTCCATGAGAAAGTAAGCGACATTTATTTATTTCTCATATGTATTTATGAGTTTTTGGGTTGCCTTTGGTTTTCACGTAGAGCTTCATACGATCCTAACGCATTTTCATTTAATTTCCATTTGGTTATGGTTTATAAATTGATTATAGAATAAGCCACTGTATATATGAGCTTTGCCTATGTATTAAGATATATTCATATATTATTTTGATTGTATATAACAGAAATTTTATGATCCATATCCATATTTCACTAAAACTAAAGTAAAGGCAAAATTCGCTTGCTTATCGAATTTTCATATTTCAATTGTTTTCCATATTGAATATTTCAAGTATTCATGAATCGCATGGCCCACAAAATGAATGCTTTTGTTTTGCCATTTTTCTGGCTTTTAATAGTCTGGTTCAAGGCGGCCGATTAATTGCTGCAGATTAGAAAAGTCGTATAAAATGTGTGTAAGATTTTCTCCGAGTTCTGGCTAGGCTGGCATTTCCTTATGGCCAGCTATGTTTATCACTTGTTCATTTCCTGTTTCTCTTGAGTTTTTTTTTCCTTTTTTATTTATTTTTATTTTTTTTTTGCCTTGTCAACGAAGTCGGGAACCCATTCTCTATGCTGCTGGCGGCCCTTACGTCAAGTCAGCTTGAGAGTTTCGCCTTGTGAGTTGCAAGTGAAAAGGTTGAAGGTAGCTGCATCGAGACTGGAACCTCGAGCTGCGAGCCGCTTCTTCGGTTCGGCTTGAGTTGGTTACAAGTTTTGCGGACTTTTTGCATTATTGTTGAAGGGGTTGTCATGCCATTGGAATGCGCACAAGAGAGAAGCGGACACAAGAGAGGGAGAGACAGGGAAAGACAGAGAGAGAGACAGAGAGAGAGAGAGAGGAGTTACAAAAACGAGTTTTGGCTTGCGGCAATTCTGTCAACTCTTAGTTTTCTGCTGTTCAACAGAATTTAGGCCGCATCATATATATATATATGTATATATTTCTTTTATTTTTGTCAACTCACAAGTGACCCAAAAGCTGGCCAGGAACTAACTGCAGTTTCAGTTTTCTTTGCACTCTTTATTCATAATTAGCTGTGAGAAAACTTCATCTAATTAAGATGCACGCGGTGCAATCAGTTAGGGTTTAACCTTCATGCAAGTGCCTCGTAAATTGTGTGGCTAGCTCTTAACTTTCCAGCCATTGCATCTGATTATTCCCAGCTTTAATTTGTCATGCTAATGTCTTTGTTTTTCTTTGCATCGGCTGGGAAGAAAAACTTGAGCACTGCATTCATCAGGGAAATATATTTAAATGACGTTGAACTTGCATTTAAGAATAAACGGGGTGAAAGTGCTGTAGCTCAATTCCTTTTTTATTTCATTTTTTTTTACTCTGTCACTTCAATTTAACATTCTTTTACATTAATCTGTAACTAGAAATTTAAAAACTATAAAAACATGAAAAAGTATCGAACTCCCCTCCCTGATTAGAAAATAAAAAATTGCCAAAGTCTAAAGTCGCCACTTGGGGGACTTTTTAGGTATAGCCATTGTTTCGGGCACTGGATGCTTGCGCTTAACAGCGGCAGTCTTCTTCTTCTTGTTGGCCTGGGTGTACCTGGGGGTATGGCATAGTGAGATCGATGACGAACTTGCCTGAGACTCATTGCCGGTTTCGTTGCTCGAAATGGATGTATCCATTAACATGTCCGAGTTATTATCCGTTGCAGCTTCTATCATCGACAAATCCTCTGACTTCTCCTCCTCCTCCTGTTTGGCAGCCCTCAGTTGTGAAGTTAATAGGAGATCGCACAAGCTCTCCTCGAACTCTACATGATTGAGCCTCCTTTCGTCTATTAGAGCCTGTTCGAGCCTCTGCTGTGGCCGTAAGTGGTTAATACCAACGCAACTCAGATACTAAGCCTTGACTTACCTTAGTATTCCTTAGCCATAGCCACCATTTGATTGACATGAGGCATATGCATACACAGCCTAATTCAATCCAAAAGAAACGATCTTGGTCCAAAATCGCGTACTTAAACATTTTATAGACTTTCAAGAACAACCAGCACATGGTAGGCCATTTGCGGCATTGTGGATGCAGCTTGACAGCCGTCTCGAATGGGACTATTGTCTTAAATGCCCACATTGATCTTTGGTTAAAACTTACAAAATTAAAAGTTTAATTTAGGGTTTTTTAAAAATGTTTCTTGCTACAAAGAAAACATTCGACTGACAATATTTGTATACTGTTGCACAGTACACCAAATCTGCGAGTGAATTTTATTTCATTGCCTACTATGAATCGTTAAAAGCTCTTTTATTACATATATGTATATATTTATAAATTTTTTTAAGAATTACCCATTATTATATTCAATTTCCTATTCCGATAGGGAAGAAGATAATAAGCTGCATCTTTGTCATTTAACAATAATAACATCATAGTAGATTTCAATAAAATTTCTAACTGATACTCATATTATGTAACTATGACAATAGTAATGATAATGACAAGCATAATGGCATGGATGCTGACACTGCCAATAATTTACTAAGATATATTTAATTATTTACATATTTATCTCTCTTTATAATTATCATAGAATGATAATTTTTGTTTCAACTTTAGATGATTTCATTGTCTTTGTCAATGTCATTATTATTATTATTATCATTATTCATCAATTTTCGTATTCTTATGATACTACTAATGATAATGATAATAATAATTGTACAATAATATATATATGTATATATATATATAAATATATATTATTATTATTATTATTATTAAAAATATATTATTAGTCATTAGTGGCTTTCATTGTCCTTATCATTATTATTTTTATAAGCACTACTTTCTCTACGATCAATACCTCATAAAATATTCCCTATAGCACTTATGTGAGTTCTCTAGGATAAATTCATTTTGAATTCAACTGGAACTTAAGTCCCGTTTCTAGCTGCCTGATGAGCTATGACTTCTGTGCCGCATAGATAATATCTCTCTTCCCTTCCATTTTGAATTCACTGCGCTTGTCACTTCTCCGAGAAAATGTAGAGGCATAAATTATAGAGCTCGTATCTTTTAAGCTCCATTAATTTGGCCTAAGGTAGCTGGTAACTGCTTGATAAACTTTTTGGTAGTCTAACTGCAATGCTAATTGGCAGCTCTTGGCTGCTGGTAATAGGCCCACGTTTTACAGTTTTTGGCAGCAGCGCGTTTTGCCGTTTGCTGGCAACGTGTCAGCGCGACATTTTGGCAGCCAAACCGTTAACTTTGCAGTAGAAAAAGTAAAGAAAAAAAACTCCGACAGTCAAATAAATATTTATCCATATATGTGTATATAAAAATTCCCTTTATGCTGCAGCAATTTAGTATGGGCCAAGTTCTTATCGGCTCGCTGCGAGCATGTTGCAAGCGAACGTGTTGCAGGTGCAGTGGCATCTTTTTTATGCAGAGCTGAGGCTGCCAGATTTTGTGAATAAGAAATGATTGGCTAAGGTAAATGAAAATTAATGAGAGTAATTAATAATGAGAGATGCAAATTGAAGTGTATATTATTGAATTTTTTTTTTTGTATGCTTTCTGTTAACCCTTTTAGCCTTTTCAACTAGCTGGCAGCATTGTTTGGCCCCCGCTGCCCACGCACTATCAAATAGTTTCTGATGCTTCGCTCGTTCTCTCGCTTTTGGCCAATGTTTTGTTTGTTATGTTTTGCTACGCTCATTGCTGCTTACTCTCTCTCTCTCTCTCTCTCTCTCTCTCTCGCCTTTGGTTGCGTCGAACCTGTTTGTTAGCCGCCTTTTGGATTGAGTCTGCGTTGATTTTCAGTCTGAAACTAGCTGCAAACGTGTGCGGTTCGCGGTTCGCGTTTGTCTTAACTGTTTCGCTCATTTGTTTTGCGGATTTTAGCTGCGTATTGTTTAGCATCCGAAACGCATCCGTCGTCACACAATCGGTTCCGGCGTGCCCATATAAAAATCAACACAAAATTCCACCGGGCTGTAGAAAAAAGTATGTGAAAGTCTTGCCGCAAACGCAGCGAAACACTTGTGATGAGTGCGAAGACGAGTTGTAATAAATACGAGAGAGATATATACTTTAGTTGTTTTCTTATATTGTTTTTGGCAATAAATTTCGCTTTCGCGTTTAGTTGTGGCGCGTACAAAGTATTTACTATTTAGTATGAGTTATTGTTTTGAAGCACTCGCTCTGCTTGTCTCTATTGTAGTTTAGACTTTGGTAATTTACGGCGTCACGCCTTAATGGCTGCAACAAGCGTCAACAACTGACGAACGGCCAAAACTAAAGATATATGTATGTGTATATATATATTTCATTTGTTTCTGTTGCACATGCTTATAGAGAGTGTGCAAGAGAGAGAGAGAGAGAGAACGCATAAAGTCTCGTGCATTTCCACCTCTGACACGTCTGTCTACCTGGCACACACACACTCACACACACACACGTGACTGCATTGGGCATTGCACACGCCCTTTTCCATCCATGTAAATGAAAATCTTAGCAAATGCTTTCAATGCCTTGAATCAGCAAATTACAAACTGAATCGCAGTCTAGTGACTTTGTCACACTCTCTTTTCCATTTGCTTTGTGTTCGTGTCTTGGTCTTGGTATTTGTCTTTGTCTTATTGCACACCCTTTGCAGCGCCGCATCAATCAAAATCAAATCAGTTTATAGCCTTAATTGCACTTAAGCAGCCATAAAAGTCGGTTAAGTTGCAGTTGCTGCACATGAATTTCATTTTGCTTTGGATTTGATTTTCATTTTTGGTTTCGATTTCATTTTCGCTTTCTGCGGCGCTATTTAACGACGTTATCAGAGCCAAGAAAAGCGCCAAAATGAAAAGCGCGTGTCTGCACAGTATTAGCCATAGAAACCAGAGTCGCAATTGCTGTTGTTATTTGTATTGAAAAGTGTGGCTAGAGTGGATGTTGGTTGGCCCATTTCGAAAGTCTGGCTAAAACTGAATTATTTTTTGTTAGTGCTTAGTCAAGTCAAATCAATGTCCATAAAAAAAGTGAATGTTAAGGCGACAGTTGGCCAAGGATTAATGTGAACAGCTGTGATTTCTGCTGCAATAAACTGAGCTAAAAGAAAAAAAAAGAAAAAATATATATAAATACATTATATATAAATAAAATATCACCTTGAACAAGTGCTCCTTGTGCTGTGTGCTCCCACTCCCAATCAAGTGCCAACTCATGTAACTGAAAGCAAGCTAAAAGCTTCTCTGGCTAATTAATGTTTATCTTATCCAACTTGAAGGCATTTTGCAATGACGCGCACTGCGGCCAATGGCCAAAACAATAAGCAAATGAGTTAACGCACAGATAAGCGTTAAGAATAAATATAAATATATAAAGAACAAGAAATATAACTAGACCAGCATAATATACACATATATACTCTATATAAATCTACAGAAGCAACAAACTTCATATGGATGATGAATATTATGAATATTTTCCCTATGACCGCAGTCATATGAGAAAAACGTGCGTATACTTAATAATATATGGTTGCGAATTGTTGTTGTTGTTGTTGTTGTTGCACTTAACTGTTATGTAAAGCATTGTTAAATGTATTAATTCTTAAGAAAAAGAAACCACAATGAAACACGCCCACTTGCTGGCAAACAAACGCCCACATAAACACTTTCGCCTTAATTTGTTTTTTTGCTTTTGCTGAACAGTCGGTCAATTGTGAGTCAGCTAAATATATATATATATATATATATATTTATGTACATATATGTTTGTAACTGTTACCTGTATTTCTATAGAAATCGCAATGTCTTGACCCCTCCTGCTCTCACATATTTTGTTGACTTCTCCTTTTGTCATAAAACAGCTTTCAATTGATTTTTGCCAGCTAGCACGACAATAACAGATCTTTGAGTCGTGCACTCAAACATCGCTTACCTTTTATAAGAGGGCGTAATGCAGACAATGAGATATTTTATAGGTACATATAGGATAGCTGAAGAAACAAACAATCATTACAAGTTTTATTTGTATTGAAAAGTTATAGCCGAACATTTTTCTTGGCTCTTGCACAATCAGCATAAATGAATACTGTCTGACGCTTTTGCTTAACATATAAATATATTTTTATTATTTCATACTTTTCTATATGCTTTTGATACTGGAATAGTTGTATCATTCTTTGATATTTTAACCCAGAGTTTATATAACATATTAATGCTACTCATTCTTGGTTTGAATATTTTTTTTTTTTTTTGTTTGAATCGATTATAGAATTTTAGGTTTCAATGAAATGTTTTTATTCCCATATACTTCATTATTGATTGAATATTTTCAGGCCGCTCATTATTATTATTATTATTATTTTTT